CAGTCATTATGTTCCCTCTTTCATCCTTTACATTTATGATTGTTTTTATATGTTTTCCTTTCAGGTACTTTACTGTCTGCTAAAATCGTTTGGTATTTTCTCGGTGGTTTCTATCTAGACTTTTGCTGAACACCTCCCAAGTTTGCCTTTTTGCTGAATGTATTGCCGTTTTGGCCTCATTTCTTAGGTTGGCATGACTTTTATCTCGTAGATATGCTTGCCCTGCTGTCTTTTTATTCTTAATTAATTGTCTGATGGTATCACTCCACCATTTGGGATGCTATTTTCCATCACCAACCTTTTTCATGCCACAGACCTCCTTAGCGACACTCAAAATATTGATGTTTTGAGATTGTTCCATTGTTCCTCCACGTCTCTTGAAAGGTCCAGTCCTCTGATTCTCTCCTCCAGTAGAGTCGTATATTGAGCTCTGTTCTCTGGGTTGTCAAGCTCGTGTACTTTTATTGTTTTGTATGTTTTCATACGTGGCCGGTTGTCTTTTAATGTCTTGGTATCCGCTATGAGGAGATGATCCATGCCTATCTCTGTCCCTCTGATTGCTTTTGTATCCATGAAAAATTTTCTTTTATCTGTATCATAGATGCAGTAATCCATTGCACTGTTCCTGTCAAGATGTGAGAAAGTTATTTTATATATTTTTTTTTATGGATAAAAAGAATTTTCAATAAGCATATTGTTGTGCACACAGAAATCGATCAACCACTGACCATTATCATTCTTTGTCTTCTCACCTCCGTGTAAGTTCAGACACTATAGAGTAGTCCAATGACACCATGCCCGGTCCTATTATCACATCCGGTTCTGGCATTGAAATCACCACTCAAGATTCCATATCTTTCTTCATCTCTACATTTATTTAAAGTTCTTTGCAGGATCGGCGTAGAACATCTCCTTTTCCAATATTCAGGTGTCTTCAGCGGGTGCATATACTTGGATGTGGGATATTTGCCCCGCACTCATCTGAAGATTAGCCACAATGATCCATGAAGATACTGGTTCCTAATCTTCCAGTATCCTGAACACTGCAGGAGTCATGACAATACCCACTCATTTCTTGGTAACATTTCCTTTAGGAACTCCAGAATAAATCAAAACATCATCATCTTTGAGTCTATATTCTCCGTTTCCTTTCTTTTTTACTTTACTGGTACCCAGAATGTCCCCTTATACCTTTTCACTTCATCCACAAGTTCGACATCTTTTCCCATCAGTGTTTTAATATTCCAGTTTTCAAGTCTAATGTCCATTTCCATTCCAGGTCGTCTCCTTTTTGACAGTCCAGTTACGAGGCCTTTCTTATTGTCTGAATCAATAGTTCTCCTTTGTGTGTGATTGGTCCGACAGAAGAGACCCCGTTACCTCGGTGCAACTAGCCTCCAGAAGTCCGCTAGAGAAAAGGTAGCTGTTTCTGTATAGCTTCCAATCCTTATTTCTCCTTTAGTTACCCATCAATCTTCTTCATTCATTATATTTAACCTTTTTTTTTTTTAAGTGTACAATGTGAAATGGTTAATTATTTCAAATAAAAAAAATTAAAGGTACTTTAGAGGAAGAAATTTTGAAAATAAGGATATTATTAACCCTGTTCGAGAACATCGATGAGGATGAGACCCACATTATATTTTACACCTCTTTTTAAATTTAACCATTTTATTTACACCTGTGATCTGTTCTACTTTTTATAGTTTTTAGCCTTATAATCAACATTTTGACACCATTCCGTACAACTTTCAAATCATGAATTTTGCTGATTATTTTAAAATCATTAATACTATATTAATACATTTAAGAGCATTTGTTAAATACATATATGAGTAGAATTCCAGCATGATAAATGATAGATGTGATATGGAAGAAAATTTTACTTTCATTAACTCAATTTATGATCTCTTTACATCATGTACTTAAATGGTACCAACTACAATCTAAATTGCATATATAATTCAGTAGTGCAGATCCATTTTCCAGCTCTCAGAAGTGCTAACACATTTTGATAAACAAGGTGCCCAATTATAATCCATGAATTATTATTATAACTTTAATAACAGTAATTTTAAAATGTAATTGGTTCCATAATACCAATGGTGTAAGTTATACCACTGGAGTGATACAGGACAAATTAGCTTTTATAAATTTCGAGACAGAAATCAGAACACGGACTGGATTCTGTGTTTTAAGGCCCTAAAATTAGTCCATTGGTCCTAAAATTAACTATTTTCAAAATAATGTCCAGGCCAGGTCTAGTCTAATTCTAACGATAGGTTTCATGATAACCAAAGTTTATAACATGTCTTAATTTAGGTTTTTAAAAAAAGTTAAAATACTACTATATATTATCTAAAATCTATCGAAACATAAAACAATGAAGAATAGTCCTGAAATAATTTGGATTAAGAAAGAAACTTTTTGATATTTAAAAAATAAATGTATACGTTTTGTTTACATATTTTAATTTTCTTATCCAGGTCTAACGTCTATGTTATCCTCTTAATAAGTGAAAGAACTACAATCCAACAATTCAGCACCAACCCAACCAGCAAGTACAATACTGGTCTTAATCCTTAATTGATAGACTAATAGAATATTTTCCAGAGAGGTAAGATAATTATTCATTAAATAAACAGTTATTTCAAAAGTCATTAAAATTATATAATTCCGCCAATTGTATTTTTTTTAATAATGTATTATTCATATAAATAAAAATGTTTCTTAATATTGTTTATACTTGGAATATATTAGGAAGAAAATAGACAGCTTACGTGAGGGTTCTCATATATTTAAAGAAGTCAAAGTTCGCTCACACCTTAATCCTCAAAATATAGGAGATTAATTTTTTATAACTTGAACTCTTTGAGCTAAAAATTGGCTCTCAAAATAAGACTGGTGAAACTCATGTCAATTTCTTCACATTTTTTATACTGAACCTACCCTGCTCAAGAGGAAGAAAGGTCTTCTTCCCTTACCATTTCATTATTTCCTGAACAGCACTTACTGTTTTTTTGACTTTTATATAACAGAAAAGCAAATTGCCAAATTTGAAGATAATCGGTAATTTAGTCAATTAAAATCTCTTAGAACCTCCATAAAAATGTTATATAAAGGGACTAAATCTAATCCAAAGAGAAATAAAAGTTTGTTTTGATTAAAAAATTACTTTTAGGAATTATAAGGGGAAAGCAGTTTTTTTTAAAACTTAGAAAAGCAGTTCTCAAACTTTTTTTTTTCATCGCACCATTGTCGGGCTTTCAACAGAATTTTTCTTAAGTTTTAACAACTGTCTAATTAAAAAATGAGTTGACTAATAAATAAAATTTCATATATTTTTAAGTCTCTACAAATAGTACAACTGTGCTGAATTTCAAAAAAATTTGAGACGGTGAGGTTCAGACCTAGGGTTGAATTGACATGCAATGACCCATTTATAAAGTTCATGTTGATTGGTTTTTTAAATTCTATAACTAATCATTATATAAATAGGCAAAGGCAGAGCAGTTCTTTCTCTTTTTCTCCTCTGTATCTCAATTTTAAAAAATTTCGTTTAGTAGCAATTGACAACTTTCCTGTTATCAGTAACAAATTTACAACATTGCAATCAAATTCAGGATAGATTTTATATATACGTTTCATTACCATCCAAACTTGAAATGACCACCAAAAATGTGAGTTGCTATAGACTATAGTGTCAAAACGACTGTAGCAATTTTAATGAGACTAGGCTGAAGTCTTCTCTTTGAGACCGATTAATTTTTTTTATATCTTTCCTCTGAAAAGAGACTGAATAAAAGTTAACAATGGATTCAGTTTTATTTTTGAATAACTCAGAAAGTATAGAATTTTTGGTTCATTGATCTTGTGAGTATTAAAGTTTCCTGAACTCCCTACAAAATGAAAAAATCATCAAAATTGTAAAGAATTATGTTTGATAAGATATTTTTTTGCATTTTTTTTATTATATATTTTAGGAGAACTCTATCATGACAAATTTATATGTGCATATTGCTATAGTATGAGCACAATGTTGAAATGAAACGATTTGTACCCACCGAACGGGAAAAGTGGGTTCAAACATTATTTTTAAAAAAGTAACAATGGATTCAGATTTATTTGTGAATAACTCAAAAAGTACACAAAATGGTATCATACACTTTTTTTATTATAAATACATATAAAAGTGTATGTATGAATATGCAAGAGTAGAAAAAAAGATGTTGAAAACATGCAGATTCATATATGTGTTCCTCAAATTTCAATTATCCTCAATAATTGTTATGGTTGAATTTACACCAAATTGACAACTTTGACCTTAAATAATGGCGTAAATTCACAACACTCAGTTTGAGAAACTACCCAAGTAATCTGGATTTATCACTTTTCCCTTAAGCTTCAACCATTTACTATTGTTGGAAATTGAGATATTTGCAAAAAATATACTTTATTAATGCTATCACTAGAAAAGAAAAAAAGGTATCTGGATAGAAATTAATATTTAAGAAAATATTAATAATTTACTACTATTTGAAACTCAGATAGAAATTAATATATAAGAAAATATTAATTTACTACAGTTTGGAACTCAGATATTTAAAAAAATATATATATTTTATTAATCCTATCACTAGAAACGGAAAAAGGTATTTGGATAGAAATTAATATTTAAAAAAAATGATCAAATGGACTTTGTTAACAATAGAATTTAAATTAAAACTGTTAATAAAATAATTATAATAAACTAAGAAAAATATAAATTAATACTACTAAGCAACAATTTTCAATTCCAAATGATAAAATTTCTTATAAAAATATATAATTTCATATTCTGATTGTTATTGTAATAGAACTGATTTACTTAAGTAATTAATAGTAATAAAATATGAAACTGAATTTAGACATAACTTAAGCGAATATGGCAGTGGCAGTTAGTTTCTACAGCATATAATTATTGGTTAGAAATTGATCATTTAAACATAAAAATAACTTACCTTTGCTTTGATCAATTGATTTACTGATAACACCTTCTTCATTTGACTTTTTTAGACAGTTATTTACAGTCAAGTTTCCTAGATCAGCAACTAGACAAGAAGTACACTGAGAACTCATTGGAAGTATGATAATAGGAGATGGAGCATGAACTTCAATCAGAATTCTAGTGGAAATGGCATTCTCATCATCTTCAAGCTAAAAAACACATATATACTGAGACAACACTGATAGATAAGTAAACTATTTGAGATTTGGGGTTAATCATAAAACAATGCATGTATAATATACACACGATACAAATTCCTTTATTTTAATGTGTGATGCAACTAGTAAGGAAATCAAGTTTAAAGGTGAGATTGTTGTATTTCTTTATCTTAATGTTAAGTTATTGAGTATCCACATTAAAACAAATATTAAATAGTGACAAGAAAAGGGGGTAGAAGTGAGAAGCAGTATAATTATTATAAAACTTACTTTCAATAAATAAATTCATATTTACACTGAATAAATTGTATATTAATAGATCACATACAAAAAAATTATAGTACCAGAAATTTACTTTTTAAAAGCATTATATAAAAAAAAAGAAGATAGAAGTTGTTTCTTCATTGAATTAAGTAGACAGTTGGTTTTCATATAAAATTCATTCAAGGGTACATTTTCAACTATACTGCGCAAAAATTAATAGAGATGTTGTTAGTTATGTATGAATTATTTTCCCTAGAACTTCCAAAATATGGGCCTAGGTAGAACATTAGAAATTTCATTGAGGCTCTGTCGAGCATTGGAAGAAGGGAAGGGTTCCTTCTTGCAGTAATAACAATATTTCTGTCATCCCTTGGTGTTGTAATTTATTGAGATCCTCTAACAGGTCTCCTATTGGTACTTCCAGTTTCACTGAATCTGGCTAAAGACAGGGAAACCACTATCTGGGAGACACCAACTGCATCAGTGATATCCACTTGCTTGTGCTCTTGACCACTCATTCTCACAATAATATTGCAAATGTCTGGTTCAATATGATGTCTTTTCATCATTAAATAGAATATTGCTGTATTAAACTTGAAAAAGTCAAAAACAACAGTTGGTTTAAACAATGAGTATTCATGTTGACTATCTTTTAGTTAATAATTTATTAAAAATAAATTATACGGTATTTACTTTTGATTTTTACCAAATAATAGGAAAATACCAGACAAACAAAAAAAAAAGGTATTTAATTAAAACAAAACAGATAGAAGTATTCCTATTCATTTTTGTGCAGTATATTTCCAGTCAATAGGAAACAGAACTTTTTCATTTAAGTTATAGCATAACTAAAGATGATAGATATTGGCTCATAAACTACTTTGAAAGTTTATTTCTAAAATAATTTAAAACTTCTTTATATATCAACAATATCTACAGCCTGTTAACATAAAAACACTCAAGAACTGAAAACTTGTTTTTTACTTTTCAGTACTCCCTTCAAACCTCAATTTCTTCAAGACAGCTCAGATCATTTTCTGTTATACTGCCTAATGCACATCTTAGCATGGCATATATGTCTCATCCGAAGATACTCACTCTACAAACCTTATGAAATTCATGCCACTATCCAATGGGTAAAGAACGGCATGTGCTATGTGCATCCTAAACCTACATCGGGTATGCTGAGCATTCCTGCATCTTCTAGGTTAAATATTCTTTTTACGACATAAAGTAGCCGTTTTCAATTAATAGTTGAGTTATGAAGAATACAATCGCAAGTCATCAACTATTATTGGAAACAACATCCAGTTTTAACTATATTTGTCTTAACTAAAATATGAATAAATATACACATCAAAGTATGAATCTAACATTTTGTATATAAATAAATAACTTATGAAATTCACAGAAAATGTAAGATCAAATATATAACAACTTACCATCTTTCCTCTAAAATAGCCCACTTCCCGACGAAGATGAGGAAAAAGATTAAAAAATGCTTGGATTTCAGCCACATACCTCTGAGTATGTACATATACCAATGAAGTCATGTCCATTTTTAACTGTAAATCATACGGCCGAAGTTGCACTGGATCTGGAGAATTGAATCTAAAAGTTAATGATAAAATTAACTATCATTATGTTAATGGAATATAAACAAAAAATAATGATAAAGAACCATATGAATAATACTTATAGAACTTAGAAGGAAAACATCAACAACACATCAAAATTGTTATCAAAACATCAGGAATGCCATGAGAATCAAACCTATGGTTTGTCAGTCAATATGGCTAATCACAATATCACAGAAATGCTTAAGACTTTGTATTTATTAATTCAAAATTACTACGTTATATATAGATTCTTCAACTAGTAAGTTTATCCATGTTGGAATTAAGCCTGTCAACTATATTGTACTACATGCAATATAGCATGTCTTCTTCATTGAGTACATGTAGACTATAATGATTATTAATTTATATTTTTATAATGTTATTTTCATTTTTTATTTGAATGATAAATTCTAGAACTTTTCTTACTCCTCTCCACTTTTTAGATCAACATTTTGGATTATCTATTCAATTTCATATCAATCAACTCTTTTTTATATTGTGAAATTGTTATTCGATTAATAATGAAAAAAAAGTCAAGAAGATGGACAAATAATGTGAAATGTTGACCTAAAAAAGTTTTAAGAAGTAAAAATAGGTTTATAATATATCTTAGAAATAAAAAACATTATAATAAATTGAATATATTAAAAAAAAACATATTTGACGTTTTAGAGGAAAAAAAACAATCGCTCTTACATTTTTTAATGAATCAGAGTTCAAAAAATAATGTTAAGAAACATATCTTTCTGTTATCTATTTCTAAAGAAGACATTCATGAAATCTATATTGTAAAGTAACTACATTTTTAATAAATAAATAATACAGTTATTACACTCACTTCACCATTGATAACTTCAGCCCAGCTGTAATAAATCTTTCTCTGTATAACTGACTATGATTTGGAGTAAGATCAGACAGACTAAAGGAGCCAACACTCGCCTCTGTTTCAGTAAATCCTGAACCTGCAGCTGAGACTAGTCTGCTACTCAAGTTTGTCATCACAGCCCGTGCAACTTCATATTCTGCTCGATTCAATACAACGCTTAGAGATCTTACAGTCAATTCCAATTCAGAATCAACTCCTATTTGTTCTGGAACTACGGATTTATTTGATTAACACAAACAGGAAAACATTCAATTTTATAAAAATATGAATTTAAAGTAATATGATGAAAGCCTGAAACTTGGCCGAAACTTCAGCAAATAACAAATAAAAATAAACATAATTTATTTATTTTTACTTTGTACTTTCATTAACTGAAAATCCTAACCAACTTCTCTTCAATATAAAACTAAAATAAATAATTGAGTCAATAGCAGATTATTATAAAAGCATTTGAAGTAGAAGTATTCATGATACCAGAAGAGAGATTAAAATTGAATGATTAATGCTTAGGAGATAAATAAATCAACAATTTTACATGGCATAAATAAAAATCTACATTAATTGAAGTACACCAAAGTCTACCAATGATAATGGAAATAATTATTATAATGTTATTATAGGTTCAGAACTTCTCTTTTTTTTTTTTTATTTTGGTCCTCCCTTCCTCGCCTTTTAAGCTATACAGGGTTATTCTGGACCAGTATCACTATTATTTTATTTTGAACAAAATGAGTGTTTCATTTTACTTAATTTTTAGTAATTATTGTTACATAAATGAAAAAAAAAGGCTTTCGGGCTGAAGGTCCTCTCAAAATTCAATCCTGGATCTGCTAGCGTATGGATGTGCACAGGAATTACAATGATTCAACAGAACAGTTGTATATCCTATTCAATTATTAGAATCTACTATGTGTAGTATAGATCTCTTTTCCGGTTTATATGAGTGATGGATTTTATAAATGAAGTATCAAAGAAAGGGAATTTCGTTAACAAGTGATGAATTCATCACACAGTTCAAAAAATTGATTGAATCTAATTTAAAATTTTTCGTTCAAGAGATGTACTTAATCTAATTGAAAGATTTTATACAAAGGTTAACTTTAAAATAAATAATATTAATTAAAAAAAGAAAGTTACATTTTTTAATCGACGAAGGAGTATAAACAGGTTCAGTAGTTTGATCTTTCTTAAGAGTATCCTGATCCAAATCACTAATTCCAAAGAAGTCTAATACTACTACCCATGATTCTACATTGACAATGACATCAAGACTATTGAAATCAACATTAACTTGGCGAGATTTCTGAAAAAAAAAAAATCAAATAACTAGTTACAGTACAACATAAATTATTAATGTAATAATTATATAATAAAATCCAAGAACAAATTAATAAGAACAGTTTTTCTACGATTTTTTATTACATAAATATAAATAAACTCACTGATATATGAATAAAATTTTAATTTTGCCGACAACTAACCCACCCCAAGAGTGACTAGATGACAACGTGATTCACCCAAGTAAATGAATTCAAGAAAACGAAGAGAGTGGCTATACCACCACCTGTTTATTATTATCATTATTTGTTGGGCACGATTCAGTGACAAGTGGCCTCCTCAACCAGCTTCCTCCAAACGTTTCTATCTCTGGCAGCCACCACCATTCAGACCAGTCTTAGAGATACATTTTTGTTTGAATGGAGAGGTGGTAACTCACCAAGTGTCTATGAAGTAAAAAGTATCACCAGTTGGAAAAAGCAATCCTATTCTGGACCTCCTTCAAGAATTGCATAGTCCTATGTTACAATCAAGCCAAGACGATAGTCACAGTTTCTCCTTCCAATAGTACTTCGCCTTATATCATTAACTTAGTTTTAAACAATATTTATGTCATCACGACTAGCCATAAGTTGGTAGAGGTGGTTCCATAATGTTCTTATTATCTGAAAACCAGCAGCTCTTTATTGTTTTTTCTGAGGCTAAGTTAAAAAGTAAACGAGTCAAAGCACCTCCATGCCTTATACTTTTATCTGTGTTACATACTTTGGTCCCATTGTTGTTGATTTGCACTGAATGTTGCACGTGGTTTATTGCAAGTTTGAAGAGCCCTATGAGGTTAGCAGGTATTCCAAAGCCATCTTATGCTTTTCATAGCTCTTCCCTCCCTATTGATGCCGTTATGAGCAGCTTCAAAATCAAACAAGTAATGATTTTTTACTTTATATTCATGTCAGCAGAATAGTGCGATGGCTAAAAATTTGATCAACAGCTGATTTTTCCTTCCTGAAGCCGCAGTGTGGGCCAAGATTTTTCTCAGCATAGGGCAGCGTCGAGAGAGAATATATAAAGAGAAGACGGTCGTAAGTAGAAATAATTCATCTGCTTACATGCCACTATATGTGTATATTTATAGATTATTATATAATATTTTATCACACCTATTGAAACTTTCCTAAATTAATAACCTAAACGTTCCAGGTTCTACTTTCTAGCTTTATTAATAATTCGTATATAAACTTTATAACTTAAATCTTTCTATTCTATGGAGCAAACATCTAGCACAGGGATCCCTAAACTATCTTCATGAAGAAAGGTTGCGGCACATTTATAGGTTATGCGTTAGGTGGCGGGCCCTGTATTTTTATCCAATGTGAATTGCAGGAGAATTACTGTTTATAATATTTAAAAAGAAAATGTAAACAGTATCAATAAAAATAAATATATACGTATTTATAACAGATATCTTTATTATTTCTGAACTAATGAAACATATTTCTGTAGAACATATTTTGAAATTACAATTAAAAATTAATTAGAAACAATAGGGATTATAACTAGATATAAATTAAGTTTAATTCAGTGTTACCAACTAAGCAATTATTTTTTTTTGTTTTAACGATCAAAGAAAGAAATTCAACAAAACAATAGAGATGATATATCGATAAGTGAATTATTATTTTCGAATAATTCATTTATCCTTTTGAATTTTATGTCTATAAAATCCCATTATATTTTTTAATATACATTTATTTAAGAAAGAAATTGTAAAACACTTGAATTTAAAACTCGTCTATCTGCAGAATGTCCCATAAAATAATAATGATGATTGAAAAATAAATTACTATTTTCAAGTAATCTCATATACTAACTACTAATTATTAGATGTTTATCAAAATAAATATTCAACATTTTATTGACAAATATAAAACTGTTGTTAAGGTGATCGCCGATAAATGCTACATTAGAAAATAGTGGACACAAGTTTGCTCGTGGGCATGATTGACGTCATGCGAGCACACTGGTGCCCATGAGTTCTGGGTTGGGGATCCCTGATCTAGCAGGTCATATAATCTGTTCCCTAACAGCAGAGAAGAAAGGGAATACTTTTGTGCATCTATGTTAGTTACTTATAAAATGTAAATTATAAGTATTTTGGAATAGCCATGATTATCTATCATGTGTACTTCAATCAGTTGATGATTCACTCTAAATGGAATTATCTTAATTTAAGAAATATTAATGAAACAATAAAATAAACAATAAACAATAATCAAAATAAATCCAAAAAATATACAATATATATCTTACAACAAACTTATTGAGGCGTGATGGCTTAGTTATAATATTAACATGTACAAGATTGTCCTCTCTAAAAACAGCAGGAGACATTTTTCCTCTAGGGGAAGGCGGGGGTGTGTAAGGACACCTTGGCTGAGTACCTCTCATTCTATTTTCTATTGAGTTTTCAGCAACTAAAATTTAAAAATTATTTGAAAAGTTATTTAAAAGAAACCTTATTTTAAATTAAAACATTATATGATATATAATATACAATATAAACATTATATTAAATACAAAACAATGATGTCCTGTTTTGTTGTCTACCAACAAAATTGACCAAGGTCAATGGTTGACTAAAATCACGATTAACTCTTCTGTATGCCCCATAAGGATCTCTTGATCCCAAGGTGGATCCATGGCTGATGTAACACAATAAGTAATAGCCTGACAGTCAGAATCGAACCTGGGACCCAAAGAGAGAATAGGGTAAAAAGACAATGCCTTACTCACAGAGCAAATCTAATCCCCTCTAAAACAGACTACCCATATGTAACTGTTGTTTTATAACAAACATCAGCACATAGGAAGTGAGTTAGGCTTATAAGGTTTTAGAGGCTATCAACATGTAATTTTTTACAATACTTATACTTTTGGCAAAAATTTGGCAGCATCATGTTATGGAAAGCCATAATTAGAAATAAAAAATTTATTTTACTTTTATGTACATAAAATAAGAGCGTAAATATCTCACATACAATAAAAAGAGTACTACAGTACAAACTTCACTCCAATTTAATCGATGGTACAAGTTCTCATGATCACAGTATTCAAAAGAAGACGGTAGTGGCCAAACCATCTGGTAAGGTCCCGATCTCTACTGAAAAGGACCTGTTGGAAATTTTTTTATCCCTTTGGAGTGATATTAGGGAGCAGAAGTCGAAAGCAGCAATGTAAATAAAGCTACCGATTTTATTCCTGATTTTAATTGAAAAGGATTAGTTAGGAGTTTGCCGAAATCTTAAATCATGATATTAATAAAGGGAGGTTATATGGTGAACACATTAATCAGTCCTTGACTATTGGAATCCCACTTATACCGTCACCCAGGGATCTTGGCCTACTGGAGAATGTGGATTGACATTGTACAGTGGTAATGTAAAAAGCACAAAAAAAGAAACATTAACAAAATAGAAAATTTATAAGTTCATGAGTTCAAATATATATTGATTATTTAGTAAGCACAGAAAGTAAAGTTAATAATATAAGCAATTATAACAAGAAGGGTAGGTTATTGGCATTTGAAATTCTTAAGCATACTTAATTACAAGGATTCGAAAATTATTTATCCCAACAATTTTAAAAATCAAACCTCACCTATAATTTATTAGATGCAGAGGTCTTCTGTTTAATATAAACAAACTTTAAGCTTACCAACAACATGGCGATGCCTGGTTGATACTGCACCAAGAACTTCCCCTGTCTCCAAGTGGTCAGGAAGAGAAAAATGCCAAGGAGGGACTGTACTCTGTGGTGAAGAAAGATTCGGACATGATTTAGAAACATAGCCTGAAAAACTCGGTTCACTGTTAGTAGCTCTAGAAGAAACCATGATAAACCTGTGTTTAGAGTCTTCAGGTTTTTGAAGATCTTCCATGTTGACTGAATGTAAGGAAATTTGAATGGAAGTTTCCATACATTGAGATTGTTCATACTGAATTATTAGTTCCTTGAATGAGAGATCAACAAGCTTTTGTTCTCCAGAGCCTAGATCAGCAATTAGCTCTAAAGAGAGAAGAGGAAGTTCAAATCCAACTGGAAAATAGATAACATTAATTAAAATAAAATTTGTGTATTACTTAGCAAAAATTAATCATTAATACACATTTAAATACATTGTTGGTACCATGTTAAAGTAACGAATGTGATCCTGACCAACATTGCACATTTGCTACTTTAACATGGTGCCGACAATATAATAATCATCTTAAGTACATGGTAATCATTAAATACACGTTTTGATGTTTTCTGAGTTCAAATAAGCAAGTCTTGCAAAACATTTAGTATGTGTATGTGAACAACCTAGCTCAAAAATTAAACTGAAAGGCATGTATATGCCTACCTTTTAGAAACATTTACATCATAATCTGCTAGCTGGAAGTGTCACTTAAGTAATTAATAGATCTGATTGAAATTTACATATGTGTTCATCAAGGTTTAGCTCCATTAAAAATGCATTTCAAAGACTTTTTGCAATAGCCCAATTTTAACATAAAACAATTTATTTAAAGTGAATGGTAAGTGAAAGTTATGTAATGCATACAATAGATTTTTATATTCAAACTCGCATATTATATTTGATTCATATGTAATGCAGATTTATTTGCTTTTAATATGAGATTGTAAGTTAACCAGGGCATCAGTATTTGAACCAGGTTTGATTAGTAAATAGAAAAAAGAAAAAACAACTAGATTACTGCACTCCTAAAAACTTAATAGAATAGAATAGAATAGAAAATCATCTTTAATCTGGGACAAGGTCCCTTAAGAATAACAATATTGTCCATACCAATTAACAATAAATCTGGCCAGATGATCTTTACAATAAAGAACAACTAAAATACGAGTAATAAATTAAGTATAATAGCTCTTAGGATATATTTACAAAAACAGTTGGGTAATAGGGTTGCAATACTGGATATATTGGAGCTAAAACAGTAACATAATAATCACTAAATGAAATTAGAAGGGAACGCTAAATCAATTTTATAAGCAAAGCATTGTAGTAATGGAATATATAAGTTTTAAAAAAATATCCTTCAGGAGAAGACGGGTTAGAATTTTTATTTAAAGGAAGTACTGTGGCTTTTTCCACAAGGAAGGAAATAATGAATTTTGAAGGGAGAAATTATGGATAAAAAGGATTTCAGAGAGGCATAATTTTATTAATTTGCCAGGAATGCTATCTATGTGTGATTTCATTACAGCGGCTATGAGATCTGTGGGAGAAATATCTGAAAAGTAAAAGTCGTCATCATTGAAATATGATCCAGGAGAAAAGAAGGATGAGGTAAATGGAGGATTTGAAGAGGAAGCAGATATAAAATAAGAATTTAATTCATTTAATGAAACTGAGAGCACTGCAGAGGGAGCGGATCTGGAAGGTTCACAAAGAGAGAGTTTACAAAAAAGTAGCATTTGAATATGGAATAGAGAGCTGATGAAAAGGCTTCATGGAAATAGGTAGATTTGCCTCGTCGGATTGTGGTCTGTGTCAAGTTATGGAGCGCCCTAAATGCTTGTTAGTCATCAGCCAGCGTAGTATGTCTAAAGCGTCAACGGACAGCATCACGCCTTTTCTGAAGATCCTTAATTTTCTAACACATCCAAGGAGCAGGAAGGCGATGAAAGGTGGAGGTTTTGAGAGGGGCATGGTCGTCAAGGATATTAATAAGATTGGAGATGAGAATATCAACCATGGAATCAATTGAGGAACAGGAATATATTCAATTCCAATCTAGGGATTCCAGGAAAGATAAGATTTTTTCCTGAGTAAGGCCATTAAGGTTACAGAAAGTTCTGATTCTAGGTAGGATAGGAGGAGTTTGGATATTATAGGATATTTGGATTAGGTCAAGCGACGATAAAAAGGAAACTGGTAATTGGGAAGAGAAAAGGAGGGAGGTTAAGAGCGGAGTCAATATTGTGCAGGTCGGACCTTGTGGTGTGATGCGTAGCAGAAAAAGGAACGGTAATAAGATAGAGAGAAAAAAAGGTTTTCTAGGTATGATTTATCGCTGGGTTCGGAAAGAAAATTAGTGTTAAAGTCACCGGAAATGATAATTTTGGAATAAAAGAGCACAAAGTTAAAGTGTGTTAATATATAACTCATTTAAACAACTACGTTTAAATCAAACCTGTGAGAGATAATCCCTGAGGAGAAGGAAGAGGTGGTGCTCGTGAAGCTGTACTGTGTGCTACCATCATTCTAGTCCGTAAAGCTGAGTCCATACTCAATGTTGAAACTCCAGTATTGATTTCTGGTTCTTCTTGAATGTTAGCCAATACCTTTTCCACTCTTTTGTCATCCTCTTCTCCTTTGACAGGAGTAAGAACCGTATCCACAGTTTCTAACAATTGCTCATACAGACCCCTTGAAAGTGAAAGTTTTAAAGCATTTATAATGCTACCCTGGATCTGCAAGAGATTAAAATTTGTTTATAACACTGAAGTATATATCTTTAAAGGACTGATGTATAAAATTAATAATGAGACCTGCAATGAATCCTGATGATCAACTTGAAAAAAATCTGCACCACAATCTAGTAGGATATCATCCTGTTGCTTCATCCTAATATGATTCATTTCTCTTATAACAGTTATCTGTGCACTAGTATTATGTAAAACAGGAATTCCTTCACTTCTACTACAATAAAGCTCTTCGGCTCTAATTAAACTTGATTCAGATAAACTAAAAAATATATAAATAAATACAACAAAGATATTAAGAAAACAAGAATAAAAACACTCTCAATCAATAGCTTACTTGATTATTTTATTTAACCTCTTTGAAATATCAAGTGTATATAAATTCATAGCTGTGACACAAATAGTGTATTTCTCATTGGTAGATGGGCCAACACCCCAAGGACTAGAAACTGGAGAGGAACTGGAATTGGTGACACTTATACTTCCAAGATGAGCCACAGCAACCTGAGGACTAGAAGAGTTTCTGGGCAACACTACTACTGGACTAGCTAAGACCACATCCCATCTGTAATAAACATAATTATTCAAAATTATATATGCTTAAAATAAAAATTAAAATTTATGACTGATATTGCATCGTTCTACTATTACTATTATTTTTGTTTATTTATACTATAAAATAGTTTTTAATGATACCTATCACCATTTTATAGAAGAGGCTCATTTTTTAAAAGATTATGAGTGAGCAGCTATTTTTGTTGTAAAGCTAGTAATATGAATAGAATAACCAGACAAATTCAAGCTCATCTTACTTTATCATAGTACTATAGGAACTTTCAGCAGGACTATGAGGGGTAACAGAACCACGACTACTCTCAAGATGATCTATAGAGTAAGACAAACTCCTCCTCTTCCTCGGAGTTTGTGAAATATCACTCGAACTCCCATACAATCGTCCTCCCATAGAAAGACTTTGTGCAAGAGATTCGGCTCTGATAAAAGAAAGAAGAAAAATCAGACTTACAATAATTACTTTTAATAAAAAAGTGATAAAAAATATTCACATAGCCAATAAATCAAATTTTTGGAAAGTTGGTTGGGGAATGCAGTTAGAAAGAACAGACAAATAAAAATAAAAGATTTATGTTTGTATGTTCTCTCTGACTGCTAACCACAACCTACTTCCTGGCCATATAAACTACAGTCAATCATTTCTTCACCAAACAATCAAATATTCTTCCAAATAAAATGGATTCCTTAAGAGTCAATATAAATCAATGTGTTAATTACTCAGCTATGTATTTTCAAAAAATATAAAAGCAAGAAAACTATTAATTGGTACACTATCTCATCAGGTGTAAGAGAAATTTATATGACATATATGATTGCTTTAACTACCTAAAGGTTGATTTACATTAAAGCTAACTTTACTAATTACACGTGTTATTAACATGATACAAACATTTTTCAAAATTTTTTTAAGAAAAATCTAAATAACATTTGATCAACACTATTTGAAAATATTATTAACATTTCACTATTGATCAGTGAAAAAATAAACATCAAAATGTCACTAATGAATTGAAAAGAAAAAAAATAAATAAGTAAAAAATTACAAAACTAAAATTTCACTTAATTTACATAACTAGGGTTTCCTAAGTAAAAACAAAAATATTCAGTAGTAGTGATTGCCAATTTCTAAGGATGTATACATAATTAACTGTTTTCATTGAATTGTATAAGTAGCAGTTAATTCAGTCATGAATAACTTAAACTGTTTAGAGAAAAAATGTTCAGAAAAGATATACATAGTAAAAATTATTACCAACTTCAAAATATTTTTTGAAAAAAAAAATATGTTATTTACATTACAAGACATTAATCAAGCCTTGTTTAAGTTTAGTTACAAGAGAAAAACATAATGCCAGCCAAAACATGTAGGCATGTGTGAAAAAATAAGACAAGCAATATACCTTCAGCAAACTTCAAATTAAATTTTTTCTAAGTTTTCAGTGCACTTAACAGCACGCTTTTAAATGAAAATAAACTGCTAAAAATGTACCTTCTTCTACTATTTCTCACATAAATCCCCAAAAATATAAATGTATCACTTTATTAAATATTAATTAATAAATTGATTTCGGTATTACAAGATGCTAACAAAATTTGTATTAGATTTTTTTTTTAAATATGCTTAACAACATAAGTCAAAAATCGCTGGGGATGAATTAGAATATTTATGATATTTTCAAAATATAATTAACTATCTGTTGATTTGTAACAGTTCTAATTAATTTTAAAAAACAACAATAATATAGTTACCTTGCATGAACGATTTTTTTTTTAAATATGCTTAACAACATAAGTCAAAAATCGCTGGGGATGAATTAGAATATTTATGATATTTTCAAAATATAATTAACTATCTGTTGATTTGTAACAGTTCTAATTAATTTTAAAAAACAACAATAATATAGTTACCTTGCATGAACGATTCCTATTGCCATTTCAGTAGCAGCAGATTTAATGGACATAAATAAGTTGGAGAGGTATTGCTTAAACTCAGCTGCACATGACTTAAACTCATACAATATATGAGAGGAATGGACATACCATACTGAAGCCATCCTTATTTTTATTTCAGCAATATCTATAAAAAATTGAAATAACTGAAAATGCAATAACATCAAATAAATCAAACATCAACATTTTAATTTATTAAGCAAATAATCTGGAACTTTTTCAACAATATCAAAAACATAATTCTTCTATTTATCTATAAATTTTTATAATTAAAATAAAACCTCAAATTAACATTATCATAAACACACACTAAAACATAACAAACCTAAAAATCAAAATGATCAAATAAAAAAATTAAAAATTAACACACCAATATTTAAAAACTCCAAAAAACAACCCTACACACATCAAACACCAACCCCCAAAACCAACCTACAATAACACATAACATATTTACAACACATACAACCAAACATACTAAATCAATCAACATTTACAAAAAAACACCCAATCTTACCCACAAATATACATCAAATCTATTCAAAAAAAAACATCCCAAACACAACAACAAAAATATATAATCAAATTAATAATTTACAAAAATCACGAAACTTCATATAATCCCCAAATAAATACCTAAACAAAAAAACCCAACCATAAAAAACCAAATAACAAAACAAAATACATCCAACCAATCTCCAAAACCCAAACAAACCCCACAAAAACTACCACCAACCCCCTTCATATAACCACATCTATACCACAAAACTTAAATACAAATTACTACAAAAAACTCATATAATCACTATATCCATATCATATCCATCAAATAAATCACCCTCAAACCATATATACAATACCCAAACCCAATATATCATATCACACAACCAAACCACCACACCACAAACCAACAAACAAACAAAACACCCCTACCATTCACCCTCCCCCCACACCACCCCTCAACATACAAATCAAAAATTTATACTCAATTTTATAACCCCACAACCAAAAAATCACCACACAACCAAAACCCTTACATTATATCATACTCCCAAAAAACATCCACAATAATTCAATCAACAATTAAAACAGGTAACGAAGCTTGATACCCTGACATGTTATACATATCTGCAGCCATTTGAGCAAGAGTAAGAGCCCCTTTAGATTTATTTGTGAGAGGATCTTCTCCAAGGCTCAAAATCCTTTGGTGCATGTGGCCTTCTGGAGTTAAATCGATGATTTGAAGACCACCTAACGAACCTTCAACTTCAAGGCTGGAACCTGTATACAAAAGTTCAGGACAAAAACATAATTAATTAATAGAGAAGCAGAAACCTAAGATATTTAATTTATATATACACGAATAATAACAGTTTTAAAAGAAAATTTCATCATTCAATAACACTGCATTTGATTCATATGAATGGATGGATATTACACAAATATCGAGGTAGATGCAACAGAATAAAATCATTAATATTACATTACTCCCTCTAAAAAATAAGATAGAATGTTAATAAATCAAATGAATTAACTATAAATAATGATAAAAATCTCCTTCAAAATTAAAAAAAAAAAACCTTTTAATTTATCTATGCTGAATCTTCACAAAATACAATGACAAATAACTCTTCAATAAATTAGATTATTAAAAAAAGTTAGTAGACAAATCCACTTAAGTTTCAATTGGTAATATAAAAAAATAATTCATTATTATACTCAAGACAATTTACATTCTGATTATGAACTATGGAATCAAACTACACCGTAAAATTATACAATATGAAATAAGTAGCTAAATATTATCACAAATGAAATGATTAAAAGAGATTTCAAAATCCTTCACATTATCTAATAAAGACTAATTGATTCAAATCCCTTCATGTTCCCCTCTTAAATTAATACAAATTCTTTGAATCAATTGATACAAATCCCTTCATGTTCCCCACTTAACCTGCTAAGGAATAAAAACTTATATCCCAATCGGATCCTAATCCAGGAATTTCCAAACATTTACGGTACCCACACTGGTTCCTCAACTAAATTCCTATATCGTTAAATGACCAAGACCGAACTAGCTCTTCATAGCCACCTAATCATTTCATAAATTTAAATAAAAATTTTCAATATCTTATACAAGTTATTTTTAGTGTTTCTTAATTGGGTCGACATACAGACCTAACATAAAAATTTATATCAATTATAATAAACTATCAAGTAATAATTTTGGCAGTAACATAATTACATAATAGTTTTGGGTATAATAGAAAAATCAACTTTATTCTGGGACAATGTCCCTTAAGAATAACAATAGAAACATAAATGAGCATCAATTCAGGCCATAAGACTGATTAAATAGGCAGCGATTAAAATAAAAAACTAAGCATATATATAGTTATAGAAAAATAAATAAAATACACAGTAACATATAAATGTTTCTTAAATAAATATTTTAATAACTTAAATTTAAGTGTAAACATACCAACATTAGCATTAATCTTGGCTTCTGTCATTGTTGCAGTTGCTATTTTTCTTCCAACTACTCCATTTTCAGTGACAACTGCTCTAAGAAGTAGAACATTAAGACGATGAAAATCAAATGTCACTTGAGTTCTGGTCGAAACTACAGGTGAAATGCTTGGCTGATGATTATGCCCATCGATTTCTCCATGGTCAACTACATCTGCTTAGGAAAAATAAAAATAAAATCAATCTACTCATAATTTTATTAAAAATATAAAACAGTAAAGAAAATTTGCATCAGCCCATTAAGGGACTAAAGGACAGGCACTGGATAGTTCCTTTAACTTCATGATGTTTTTGGAAGACTGTTTATTCATCAATATGATCAAAGTATCAAAGCCAATCAATTTTTTATCAAGAGAAACGTTAGTATGCCAAACCATTCTTATAAGACCCTTTCAGTTGACAGAATGTATTTTTGAATAAAGTCATTTTAGTGATATTTCTATTTAGAAAATTTATAACTGTACAGACATTGAGTTTTTGATACAGTTGATTGCAAAGTAGGTGATTGCAGTGTTGAAATATAGAAATATAAAACTGTGAACATAGGGAAACATTTTCCCACTAGAAATAATCAAAAATGTTGAAATTTGATTTAGTCATTCTGTCAACTGAACGGTTCCACTTTGAAAACTGAAGAAAGTATTTGATCTATCATAATATAAAATTGAATTATTCAAGGGTGGTAAAATAAATATGTATGTTTATTTATATATTTATATATATATATATATATATATATATATATATATATATATATATATACATAGGTTATAGTTTATGGTCCATAGTTGGGAAACATGCAGCCTCTGTGAATTTTTGTGTAGCTCATAAATCCCTCTGATATTAACACGTTAGCTGCTGTTACAGTCCCCGGATTCTGCTATTGGTTAGGATTGTTTCAAATTTTGCCTATCTTAGAAAATACTGACAATGAAATATTAAAAAATATATCCCTTAATCTGTCTAACCTAAATTCGGTCTCTAATGGTAAAAAGGTTGCCCACCAATGATCGGTTAGAATATCCCAAAAAAACAATGTCAGCTAAGGTGAATGCTTTTTCTTGATAGACAGAAAAATTTCGATACATTAAAAATGATAATAGGACAACAAATGATATTCATTCATTAATTGAACATATATGGATGGTAATTCCACAGTGCCCAGTTTGGAAGTGTGGATTCAATCACCAACTGGGTCCATTAAAATTTTTTATAGCATTCCTAAGGAGTGAACAGTAAAATTTCTAATCTGTTAAGTACAGTATGGTAACCTCCAAACAGCTCCGTCATACTAGGCAAAAAGGCCCAATAAAATAAGCCCACTTGTCAGGGTTGTTCAACTACATCAATACCATTAATATAATATTTTGTTGACTGAGGATAACATTAAAAAATTAAAGGACTAAGAATCAACTTTTATAATAGGAACAGAATAACAGTAACAGCAACAAAGAAGTTAGCCTCATTTAGTAGAATAGTAAATATTATAAAATGAAATAGTAAATAGTCATTTACCTTGGACCAATGGTGTCGGAAAGTGTGGAGCATTTTTATGTTTGGGAAATGCTCTATGAATAAATCCTACCAATTCAACTATGGTTTCTTGGTTTGCTAAAAAAAAATATGTAAAAATTATTGCAATTTAAATTTCTAAAAAATTATAAAACTTTTTTTAGTTTAATTCATTTAAACTTACCAATTATATCAAGATTATTAAACTGGATGTTAGCAACTTGGAGATGTTCCTTTTTTTCTTCATTCGTAGGACAGTCAGCATTCACGAATAAAAGTTCAACAGATATCAGAGCTTCGGTATCCAGCAACTCGTTAGTAGAAATAGGGGGAATTTTGATTTGAGGAGGTGATGGAATTTTCCCGACAGGTGACTTAGCTAGAAAAAAAAATCATTTATCATCATGTTAAAAATACATTTTATTTTCATAATTTATGTTTTAATAAATTCATATTACATAAGTTTCATTCAATAAATCAAGATATGGGAAACAGACGGAAATTAAATTGTTAAATATTTTTATAAGTTGTTAAGTTTGTATGTTTAGGAATTTCCCCCTTTTTTTTTTTCAATTTCAAATTTTTTCATATTCTGTATTTATAGACTTGGTTAAATGAAAATATTCTAGGAATTGTTTTGAAAAAAATAAAATATGTTAATTACAGTAAATCAGAAAATAATGCAGTTAAAGAAATGTGAAAACTTGGCTAAATAAAAGACACATCTAACTTGACTACAGCTTGTGGTTTCTGTTTTTATACAAAAATATTATACTTCCTACAATTCTTTACAAATGCAAAACGTGACCATTTCTATTAAGAAATGAACAATGCCTTAATTTTTATGAGAACAAAGTATTGTGCAAAATATTTGTACTGAAAAAGAATAAGAAGTCCTCATAATAATAACAGTCGACCAAGGAATTTAGGCAGTTACACAATACCAAAGTGCGTGAAGTATACTGTTTGTGATGTCTTATTTCTCACCTCTATCAATATTTATACTGCTAAGAGCTTGAGATATAGAAACAGGCGATGAAGGAAACCTAGATCTTCCTTCAGGTTCAGGAGAGGCAGGTGATACAGGAGAGGTCGGTTCACTATCTTGCAAACTACCACTTACACTATCCATTCTGTAAAAAATTGAACAAATTTATTACAAAAAAAAAATATGAATGTATAAACATGAATTAAAACAAACTACATATTAATTATACTTTACTTTTTATAAGAGTTGGATTTATCAGCTTTTAAAAGATTTGATGCAATATGTCTACGGTTTTAAATATACAATCACTTATAAATGATTATTAAAAGTACTGTTATTAAACAAATATTTTCATAAAAAGTAATGGAAATCACTTTATTGATCATATTTTAAAAAACTAAATATATTAAATAAATATATATATATATATATATATTGACTTTCTGTGTTTAATACTTAATATTCCGATTTAATTTTTGTTTTATTTTTGTGTGTTTGTTCTTTGTATTTTTGTTTGTTAATGTATATAAATTTGAACTAAAAATGTATATCATGTAAAACTAGAAAAGAAACAATTGTTAACAAATGTAATTCATGTAGGATGTCTTTAAGCCATGGAGCATAAAGGAAAATCAAATAAACGATCCTTGTGTGGGGTTACCACATAGGGGGAAAAAAAAAAAAAATATATATATATATAAATATATATATATATATATATATATATATATATATATATATATATATATATATATACTTAATGTAAGATTTTAAGAGAAGGTGGTTAAATTCTAATTAAAAAAACATGGATGGTTTTTATTATGTAGTGTTTCCTAAGCTCCTTTTTAAGACATAGAAACTGCCACAACACAGTATAACTAGTTAGTCATTTCTTTTTTTTAGTTAATCAGACATTGAGTGTTTATCCATACATATTGAAATAAAAAATTTAAAGGAAGTTAAATTGCCAAATCATTATATAGAAATTATAACAGTATATGTAAACATATTCCTTTAATATATTTACCCCACGTGTTTATGGCTTGCAATAAGTAATTCAAAATCAGGACCAAATGTCTGAAGAGCATCAACTAAAAGTAAGCCATGAACACTGAGAGAAAGGCTGGTATCATATGGTCGTTTTGTGAACGATGCTTTGACTCCATTAACTTGAAGTTCTGCAATACTTCTGCCTCGAGACTGTACCTGTTGAATTAAGGTATAATTCAATAAAATAATAAACAATAACAGTCCAGGACACTGTTCAAATTTTCATCTTAGTATGAATAAGATCCAGAATACTTATTAATTATTATTAATAAAATCAAGGAATTGAAAACAAGTAAATACGGTGTGTGCTTTAGATCACACGATAGAAGTGAAAACATTAACAAGGTGAGATTAAAAACATAAAATATAATTTTTTTTTTTTGTGCTATATTCACAAAGTAATAACATGTAATTATAGTTGTGTATAAACTATTTTCTGTTCTATATTAAAAAAATAATAACATTTACAATATAGACAATTATAATTGTATACAAATTACTACAGTAAACTTTGCTCTGACAGATCATCATTTGTATTACACTCTAAAAATGATGCAATAGGTTTATAACTAAAATATGTGATGAATATGAGAGTGTTACACATCCGAGACTGATGGCTCAGCCTCATTCACTCCTCAACAAAAATAGCAAAATGCACCTAAAGAAGTTTTCACTTAAAAAAATTCATTAATACCTCTAATATTATTAAAAAATATACAAACTGTTTGGTAAAATGTTGCCTAATCCTTTAGATATCAGAATACAATTTCAGTTGAAGAATCAGGCAGAACTATTTAAGTCATTTTAATATTATAACAAAAAATTCTGTCAAAATCATTTTAAAACTTTTCTATAACTTGAGATCGCCATATTGTTTAAAGGGCTTTATCATCACCTATATATTATATAATCACCCTTCTTAAGGCACATATATATTCCCATTATGACAGGAAGGGCAGCTATACAGAAGGTTTTGAACCTATCTTAACCAGAGTGTGAGGTCAGAGATATATATTTATCGGATAGATTAAAAAAAAAAAAATGTTAACCACCCTAGAAAGCTCATAATGTTTCCATACACACAGTCACCATAGCATCAAACTAAATAAATTTTAAAACAAATTATGGATTTGGTTATTATTTTAAAAAAACAATATTTCTGTTAATAATTAAAATACCTCAAGAGCCATTTGGTCTATTGAAAACTGAAGCATTAATAATCTTGCACCAGTATCCTTTTCCTCTTCAGATATTGAATCATCATCATAAAATGCACTCGATGTTTCTTCACCTGGAGAGTTCTCTTGAGATCTGCAGTAAATAATAAGAACTAATAAATTGGCTATAATAAAAATATAAATGTGAATTAAAATATTAATAATTCCGTACTTGATATAAAAGAAATGAAACTATGAGAAGTCAGAACTCTCTTTTCTTCTTTCAACTTAAAATTCATTTTTCTAGCTTAAGAATAACAAAAGTGTAAATGGGACATGTGGATGGCTATATTCAAGCCTTACTCACCATTCTTTATAAAGAAAAGATCTACTTTTTATTATTACATCACATATTTCAATATATAAGTTGCAAAGTAAATAAACATAATAATAAGAATTCTGTTTCAAAAGTCAATTTTTATTCAATAAGATCAATGGTACTGCTTGACAGATTTTCCAAGTGTAGTCAAGTAGCACACACAAAAGAAATAAGTACATAAAGCCAGCCAAATTTACTTCTTAAAGAAAATACTTATGTAATCAATCATAATTTACAAACCTCAGAGGAGATATCAATCCCTTTCCTGATATCACATTAACTAAAGTTTGTATAGCTTTCACTTTGTCCTCATTCACATGGGCAACTAACTTAGGAAGGTTACCCGTAATGGTTAAACTAGGATATTGTGGATCAATTGTGTGTATTACTCGGCGTTCCATCTGTAAAAGAATCAAGCATAAAAAAAAAATTTAACAAAGCTGTTACTATAATTGAAACTAAATTTAAAAGTAAATATTTCTAACATACATGCAGTGATATATTGAATTTGTCTAAAATATGTAAGGAAGATGATCCACGAAGATGAGCATATTTCCAGTTATCTCTAACACAACCCACCAGAATCTGAAGATCACAAAGCTCTATAATGTATCTGTGAACATAAAGAGGCAAAATTTCATAATTTTGAAATTGATTCAAATTCTCGTGTTTGGGATTCCAAACTTCTAATATTTAAGTGGAATGTACAAAGGAAATAATAACTTAAAACAAAAAAAATGTGTTCTATAAGATACAAAAAAATAAATTAAATAAACCTCTAGTTTAATGTCGTTATCTGATTAAAAATGTTCATAAAAGATGATCTTGGGAAAGATACTATAATAAGTATTAGTAGAAAAAGGCTTTTCAGTCTCAGTAGATAAATGCTTTATGTCAAATTTATCCAAATTTTCTCCTCTGCAGGCATCTACAGGGATAATCTGATTTTACATGCAAATTTTAAATAAAGCAATAATTTATTGAGAACGAAAAGGCCTTTTTCAACTAATTAAAAATATTTGTATGCACCCTATTGTAAGCGACCTAGAGCAAAAAGGATTGTCAATGAAAGAAAAAATAGTAGCTTAGGGCCATTGTCCTTTGAACATGAATTATCCTGCAGGAACATATGGTAGGTGCTTCGGAGCTCATTCCATAAATGTTCTTTATCAGAGCTCGCCCTACTGCAGAATGAAAGTCTTGAAGCTCGTCTAGCCAGTGTTTTAACTAGGAACTTGGACTTCAGAATGGTTAAGCTTAACCGTAAAATACTTTGTATAATACCAACATTTACAGATAACGACAAATAAAATGCTTCCTAAACTTAAAGAATTTAACTATAAATTAATTATTAAGTTGTGATGGTATTCGGTCCCGAACATCTTGCATTACATAAATAAAAAATTTCCCTCATTACAAGCAAAATGTAATATGGTGCCCTATCTCCATTTTCATCAAAAACTTGCCTCTTTCCGAAATCGCTACAGCTATTCGTTATTTATAAATATAATCCATTCTCACACAGAATATCTCCAGTATATGCATTAAAAGTATCCATATTATAGGAATAGAACATAAAATGATAAGTATATGCATTAAAAGTATCCATATTATAGGAATAGAACATAAAATGATAATTATTTGAAAAGTAGAAATTTAATAAAATGTATCATAAAAATAAAACATGTTATAATCTATTAATTTTTTACCAAAATACTAAAAAATGTTATAAATGTTAATTTAAGCAGTATCTAATTCAATAAACGAAATTTAACTAACTTGTCATATAGCTTATTGTGAAGCAGGAGCTCATTAATATTTGCCATATCTACAGAAGGGTTTCTTGATGAAGTTTGAGAGCTCACTTCACTTCCAGGCGGAGTTGAGCAAGGTGTCTGAAAAGCTGTTGAACAATTTATTATTAAGGTAACCACAAATGCATACCATTAACCTTAACAAAATTTATAAACCTAACCTTCTTCTTCTTCTTCTTCCACTTCAGTACTGCCATTTTCTTGCACAGGTATGACAATTCCTGGTATCCTATTGGTGAAATGAAGCTTACCTAAGTCGACCACACACAGAATTGCATTTTTATCATTGAAGTGTTCTACGAGAAATATTTGAGGTGCTGAAATGTCTAATTCAATATCCCATGTTTTACGAACGGCCTGCATAAGAAAGAATAATAACATTTTGGTTAGAAAAATAAATTTTGTAGAAAAAACACTAACATTAAAATTTCATATATATAATTTTATTTCAAAATTATAAACAAATTAATCTTAAACATTTTTTGTGGAATAATATATAACGTTTTTATTAATGAATTGATAAGTAAATATCTTTTATTTATTAATATGATATTTAAACATGCTGAAACAAGGCTGATATTTAAATTATATACAGTACCAACAAGAAAATAATGAAAATTCCTGAAGGATAAAAAAAATCTTATTATTATTATCTCTGGCCTCAGTGCCTTCCAAGGGCATGGACCTTCTCACAAATAGTCTGCCAGGCTGGTCTGTCAGCAGCAACAGCTTCCATCTTCTAAAGGTCTATCTACCTCAATGGCTTCCCGTACATTAACTATTTCAACTAAGCCACCTCAACCTTCTCTTTGTAATTATGGTCACTATATCAGGCTGGTCACATAAGGCTCTCAATTTTTCGTTCTTTCTAATTCTGCTTTCTCCTTGAAAGTAGGATGGTTCATATATTTTACTGAGCACTTCCCATTCCCACGAACTTAGTTGCCTTTTCATTTCCAGCATTAGGATCCAGGTCTCACTTCTTTAGGCAATTACTGGGTGTATAATGGTTTTATAAATAATCACCTTGTCACTCCATCTTTGAATTTTAATGCCTTGCTAATGTCAAAGTAGCAACAATTTCCTGCTACTATTCTAGCCTCATTTTCTTTGCAGAGCTCATTTGAAAAAAAAATTGTATAATAAAATAAAAACCAGCATAATAAAAATTGCTTTAAAATTACTTACAGCATGGCCATATACCATATTTTCCCAGTTGCTTAGTAACTGCTGCTTTGTTTTTCTTTTCATTGCATGATAACCTTGTCTAGCAGCTTGTCGCAAGCCAGAATCTACAACTTGATGAGGACCAGTGAAAAATTCCAACATCCACTTAGTTGATCCAGGATTATAAACAACATCTAGAGATTTTAAATGTACCTCAAGCCTAAACAAAGAAGAGGTTTAAATTATAAACAATGTTTATAATTTAATGATATAAATATATTTATAAAATGCTAATTTTAAAATCAAATAACATTATTTTATTAAACAAATTAAACTATTAATTCAATAAAAAGTATCTCAAACATGTTTTTATATTCCGCAGAATATAATTTCCCAATGGAAAAATTCATGGCAGTAAAATTAATAAAAACAAGCAAAGCAAACAAAATTTTATCCAATTGAATAATTAAGATATACAAAGGATACAGATAAGTATAGAAAATCAATTTTGTTTATACATTAAGACTAGGAGTTTTGAAATTATAAGCACTTAGAAAAAGTTAACATGATGACAGAACTCATGCAGACAATTTTTTATATAATTGGTTCTATTGTTCAACATTTCTGTTTTTTTCAAAGGTGTTAAGATAAACAAATACAATTTCATCTTATCATACATAAGCTACAAATGTTTCATCAACAAAAATTCTCGGAAATGGGGCATTGTCATTAAATTAATTAGGTACTAAAAATTCAGAAATATTCATTTGCTTTCCACTTCAATGGTAAGATAATTTGATCAAGAAAAAAGGTGATCTACAAAAATATTAGTTCATTTGGCCCACATAATATCGTTATTTTAACTTATTGGGGGTGGAGGTCATGTCAAATGGCCCAATATTTTTGTATGCCACCATTTTTCTTGATTTTGTGATCAATTATCTGTGAGATGAAGCCATTCATAAAGTTTTAGACAGATGTTAATAATTTGACAAAAAGAGGTCTGTACCGCGGAATATTATCATAAGTCCTGTGAATATTCATACAAATCATATTAAGCTTTTTAGTGTTAAAAATAATAATATTAAATTACTTTTTCCTGGCCTCAGAGGTTTCTCTCAAATAATATATAGTTTTTGTACCTGCACATCAAAGCATTATCTGAGTAATTTAATAATAATTAAAACATACCTTCGATCAGCACTGCTGTTAAAAGGTTTGTACTCGTATGAAAGCTGAAACAGTGGTTGCTCTTTTTCATTTATCGCAGTTTGACTGACGATTTTTGCAAGGCCTGGTGGAAGATTTTTTGATAGCCTTCCAGTTGGTGCTGCATCACTCCCTGAACATATATTATTGAACTTTTTTAAATTTTTCCATAGCTTTATAATTTCATTTAAGCATGAAGTATTATTTTAATATACTGACTTTGAGGAGAAACGAGAACTGGGAACGCAGAATCTTTGAATAAATGATCTCTCAAATAAAGAGCTCCCAATGTAATGTTAACGCAGTGAGACCCATTTCTGGGACGAGATTCAAGACCCAATTGAACATTTTCAAACTGCAGTTCCATCAATGCTTCAGATCTATAAAAATTTTATTCAAACAACTTAATAAATTGTTATTGCAAGTAGTAAATAAGTAACAAAAAACTAATGATTTTTGCTCATTTTCGTTACAATAAACCTCTGTTTTTGGATTTTATTGTTATTGTGAGTAATGATGAAATAATAAATGCTATCCTTTACAGGATAGCATTTATTGTGTTGATTGTTAAACATATGTTGATTGTGAATTGATTGAAGATGAATGACGAATAAGACAGAACAAATTGTTAATAAGATGCACATTCTGTATGTTTAGTGTAAAATAGGCTCTAATTTTATCAGATACTTTTACTGCAACAGAAGAAATGGGATTATGTAATGTAAAATTGTGGAGTCAATAAATGCTTTTGCAAAAGTTTCAAAGAAGCACTGAATACAAATAATTGTTACAATATTTCATTTTCTATTAACTAAAACTCAGTTAATGTTCAGTAATCTTTAAATTGTTGTAATTGTAATAAAAATGGCCTAAATAAACATTTTATTTATAAAAATAAAAAAAGTAGGTGACGGGATAAACAATCATTTCTTTACACAATTTGAGGTAAATCCCAAAATTTTCCCTAATAAAGCTCAACTTAACTAACATGAATATCAAGGCTAATTACACAAGGAAGTTTTTCTTTAAAAAATAGTTTAACTTAAGTACAGTCAAAGGGTGATAAAAAAAATCACAAATAATTTATGAATTTTTTTTTAACGGAACAGCTGTATTTGTCCGCTCAACAGACCTTTTTAAATAGTTTTAACAACGAAAAACTCTATTTCTGTTAAAAGTAAATTTTATCTAGTTTACTATGGAGCAATGTTTAATAACTTAAATCAAATATTTTTTAAGTTATAGGTTCCTATTCAACAAAAAGCGTGACTCACTTTAAAAAAACACAAATCTTAAATTTCTTTCCTTTCTGCTGGAAATTGAGAAATTGTTTATATGAACTTTTTTGTAGATCTTGATGTCTACTATCAAACTTTTAAATTTTTCCCTCTACCTACAAGACATCCTGTGTATTTAAATTATAAAAACAGCTTAGAAAAAATTAGAGATAGTATTAAAATAGATATTTTATAACAAAATATTGTCATTAAATTAATAATAGTTTTTAAAAGTATTATTTTTAATATACAGTAAGAGTGATGATAAAATTTGTTGTGTCCAAGAAAGTAATTAACTACTATTGGAAATTTAAATAATAAAAAAAAGAAAAGAAAGAATAGTAGAATTGAACCTGTCAGAAATACTTACCCCGAGCAAAGATGAAATGTTCCTGTTTTCAATGTGAAGTTGAATTGACCAAAAACTACATCTCTCTTGAGAAGAGTGTTGTTCTCTACTGAATCTGCTAGTGCATCCAATATTTGTTCTTCTAAAGCGGCAGTACCAGGGTCAGGATTCAAGCTAGCACTGTCAGCCTGCGACGACTGCCACCAGCCAGGAAACCACGATGCAAGGAGACCAACACTGCCTTCTACTTTTACTACTTTCCCAGGAAGTCGCACTCTTCTCATAGAAATCTAGAAAACATTAGATTACATATAACAATAAGCATTAAGAGGGAAAAACAAAGCTAAGGAAAAACTTCAGGAACAGTATGTAATCCTTAAATGCTAATATGAGACAGATAAAAATTTGAAAAAAATATCTGCTGCTGTGCTTATGTTAAATCCAGTACACAGATGTCCAAAAACAGTGAGTGCTGTTTTTCAAATTACTATGAGACACAAGGGAACTGAGAAAAGGAGATTTGACGAAACAGTCCGGTTCATGAAATTTTTGCAGTGATATGAATGTTTCCCTGGTTAACATCATGTTTTAAAAAAATCATACAAACCCTAAAAGAATATAAATATTTCTTATGATATCTTAATTATATTTTAAAATGAGTGTATTATTGATAATGATTTTAAATAATGATAAATTGGATTAAATAAGCAGTGAAGTATTCAAAAACTATTTATTTAGTCCAGAAATATCCTATGTGACTGTTTTTTGTCCACGCCCTTGAAAGAATCATTTAGAGAACAATTCAAAAACACATAAAAAATCGAGGAGCACATGCAAGATTGGCCAAAAACTTATTGCCAAACTTTTTATAAACATGGAATACTGGAATCAGTGGCAAAAAGATTTAGATTTATGCAGCATTAACCAATAAATGTTTAAAAAATTATTATTATTTATATATTCACCCTCGTTATAAACACAAAGCAATCACAAAGCAATAAATACGTTTTTTAAATTGTTCTAAAAATACAATTAAAATCAATCATTCAACTAAGAAATAAATTTCCATACTTCTTCAGTAGGCAGTAATCAGGTAAAACAAAAATGAAACACAAACCTCTCTTAAATCTCGAAGTTCATCAAAATCTCTTTCCCATTCGACTTTGTCCTTGAGATTTTTGTCATCCTTTGACAGCTGGTCAGTTGGATTTAAAAGCATTTTGGAATAAAGTGCAACATAAGCAATATTTTCACGAGCTCTGAGCAATGTCATTGACCATGTTGGAACTGGTTTTAGTATTCGATTAATAGCATACGTCCACCAAGATCGAGGATCAGCAGAAACCTCCTTTTTAGGCCTAGATCGAATGTGTCCATGACGCCGAGCAAGACTAACCAATCCTCTTTTACAACACACCATATCACAGTACTGAACCTAAAAATAAAAATAAAATCTATATGTTAAAATAATTTTGTCAAAGTTATGTAACTCTGGAAAATAATTGGAATACATAGAAAATTAAAATGTTACTATCTTTTATAATTATATTTAATAAGTAGCTATAACTGTAACACGAATCATTAAATTTTAAATGTAACAATAAAAAAATAATATGTTTTCAAACATTACCAATTACATTGTCTAATGTATGGTAATATGGTTATCCACATATTAATAACATTTTAACACTTACTATTTCCATTAGCCAACCAAATTGAAATATTATCAACATTTTAATTAACTGTGTTTCTTATCAAAATATTGACATTTAGTTGCCTCTTATTACACCAGTCAATAGCAAAATTGTATAAACATTTTAAAGAATCAATTTAAATGCAATCAAATGTTATTATTAAAAAATAAATATTTTTTTTTTCCTACACCTGTTGACTTGGACTTTTTAAGTCATGGGTCTTCTTCAACAGCTTGGGGCTGTTATAGGAGCCAGTAGTGATCATTTGGCTCTCTCTTCTTCGAGATATACAGGAAGCACATAATTTACTAACCGGACGTGATCACATTTCATTCCCTCTTCATCAGGAACTTTCCTGAAGGATAGTTGGCAATCTTTTGCTTCAATCTTCCATCCAGTTTTTTTATGGGATAAGGGATTATCAGCCCTATATCCAACCTCCAACCTGGAGGACCAAAACTATGGTGAAAGACACAAGGGTCCCTCACCTCCTTATGAATCTCAGGGTGGGAACGTTACCGTCTCTATATGGGAATCAAACCCACGCCGTAGTGGTCTAACTAGTCGAGTAGGGCCTGCATTTATTAATTTCAATTTATTATTAATTATTTTTTGTATTATTAATTCCCGCGAACAGGATTTAAACACTTGATATAAAATTTTTGCCGAGGCCTTAACTCACTCGATCACCACGGCCCCAATTGTATAGAGTATACATTATCCAATCTTAGATAATAATGTTCCTCGCGCGGGCTCATTACCGCGTATGGGGAGCGTCCCACGGGTGGCGGATGTGGGGATGGTCGGTGGAAATTCCTTGGAAGTTCCTCCCGGCTAAGTCCGATGGACTCGCTGACCAACAATGAGAGGGGCCCTCCAGACTTGCTGGAGGGAGGGGACCTCCAGACTTGCTGGAGGGAGGGGACCTCCAGACTTGCTGGAGGTAGGGGCCCACCAGACTTGCTGGAGGGTGTGACGTAGGATTGAACGCCCTACTCACATATCTTTAGTTCACCAAACACCACAAAAAGTCATGGATCTCCCTAAGGTAAAACGCTCATTATCCGGAGGTAAACTAGTCCCCCGTTCGGGTCTCCGGGTGGGGACTGCTTTAGGGGATTCATGCCGCAAGTTGAAATATAGGGATTTAAATATTGGTACGTGGAACGTAAGGAGTTTAAACACAGCAGGGGGGCTAAAATCGGTCGCGAATGAGGTAAATGGGTACAATTTGGATGTCGTGGCTCTGCAAGAGGTTCGCTGGCCAGGGGAGGGCTCGATGAGGGAAGGAAAGTACACTATTTGGTACGGAGGAAGCGGGAATCATTGTTTAGGTACCGGGTTTCTAATTAGGAGTAGATTACTATCCGCTTTGAGGGACGTACAATTCTTTAGTGATAGAATTTCGGTAGCTACATTTCAGGGACGTTGGTTTAAAATCGCATTAATAAACATACATTGTCCGACCGAAGACAGTGACGATGAAGTCAAAAGTGAATTTTACGATAAACTCGAATGGGTTTATGATAAACTACCGCGAAACTACATGAAAATAATTGTAGGTGACGCGAACGCAAAGGTAGGAAGGGAAGAAGTTTATATTCAGACGATTGGTAAAGAAAGTTTGCACGAATATAGTAATGATAATGGGATCCGTCTGATAAACTTTGCCATCTCGAAAAACCTGGTAATTAAAAGTACGACGTTTAAACGTAAGGATATTCATAAATATACTTGGACATCGCCGGATTCGCAAACACGAAATCAAATCGATCATGTCTTGATACAACACAGCTGGCAAAGCAGTATAATCAATGTACGGTCTTATCGCGGAGCAGAATGTGGGTCGGATCATGAATTAGTAATCGCGAAACTTCGACAAAAACTTAATATAAAAAAGAGAAAAGAAAACCGTTTCGATTTTGAGAATTTTAATTTGGAAAAATTAAAAAATCCATCAATTAGAAACCAATTCGAGCTAGATGTTAAGAATAGGTTTGAAGCTTTAGAGCTTCCTGACGAGGACCACGAGGATATTGACAAGTTATGGGTAGAGATCAGGGATAATATTAAAGCGGTCGGTAACTCGTGTCTAGGAAAAAAGGAAAATAAGAATAACAAACCGTGGTTTGATGAAGATTGCTTAAACATGTGCGAAAAAAGGAAAGCCGCTAAATTAAAAGCTCTAAATAATCCTAGCGAAGACAATCTGGAATACTTCCGAATCTCAAAGAACGAAACGACAAAATTGCTCAAAAATAAAAAAAGGGAGTATCTTAAAAATAAAATAATTGAAATAGAAACTAATAGAATCGAAAATAACGTAAGAGACATGTACAAAGGTATAAACAGATCACGTAAATATGTAGGGCCCGTAACGTCTGGAATTAGGGATGATAATAACAATATTCTGACCGATCCGGTTGACATATTGAATAAGTTTAAGGACCACTTTGACAATATTTTAAATACGGGAAATTATGATCGGTGTCCTCCTTCTGAGTTCCAGAGTGCTGAACCGTTGATAGAAGGACCAAGTAAAGAGGAAGTTGAAGTAGCTATCGGTAAATTAAAATCATATAAAGCAGCGGGAATCGATAATATTCCTACTGAACTAATTAAGGCATGCGGGGAAGCTGGAGTTTCTAAAATACATCGGTTGGTTGAAAAGATCTGGGTGAACGAGAAATTACCTGAAGAATGGAAAGAATCTATTCTTATTCCGATTCACAAAAAGGGTCCGAGGACGGATTGTAATAACTATCGAGGAATTTCACTCCTTCCGGTATGTTATAAAATATTCACTTTAATCTTAACCAGTCGAATCACGGAATACGCCGAGGAAATTATCGGAGACTACCAATGCGGATTTAGACGGAATCGGTCGACTATTGATCAAATATTTTCTTTACGGCAAATATTAGAGAAAAAATTGGAGTATAACGGTATTGTTCACCAGCTGTATATAGATTTTAAAAAGGCTTACGATTCTATTGACCGCCAGAAACTGTATAATATTCTAATCGAGCAGGGAATTCCAAAAAAACTAGTAAATCTAGTCAGGATGTGCTTGACGGAGACACTCAATAAAGTTAGAATCGGTAATAATTTGTCCGAAAAATTTGAGGTTCGTTCGGGCTTAAAACAGGGGGATTCTCTTTCGCCTGTCCTGTTCAATTTGGCATTAGAACATGCCATTAGGGAGGTAATGCGTACCGAGAAAGGGTTGGATCTGGGCGGGACAACATCCGTGCTGGGCTATGCTGATGATCTGGTACTGTTAAGCGAAGACGTTGAAACTATAAAACTAAATACGACAACGTTAATGAAAGCCGGTAAAGAACTAGGACTCGAAATAAACGTGGATAAAACAAAATATATGGTCAGCTGCAAAAATGGCGATACTACTGGTGATATCGATATAGATGGTAATATGTTTGAACAGGTAGATAAATTTAGGTATCTAGGTTCTACGATAACTAGAAAAAACGAAATTGAAGAAGAGATTAAGGTTAGACTGAAGGCGGGAAATGCTTGTTATTTTTCTGTGACAAAACTACTCAGTTCGCGCCTCTTGTCCCGAAACTTAAAAATTAGGATCTATAAAACAATTATCTTGCCTACAGTTCTTTATGGATGCGAAACTTGGCCGCTTACATTAAGGGATGAGCAGCGTCTTAAGGTTTTTGAAAATAAAGTATTGCGTAGAATATTCGGACCGAAGAAGGATGAGTTAACCGGAGAGTTCAGACGGTTACACAACGCCGAATTGCGTGAGCTATATCCGGGTAATATAATTGAGGTAATTTCATAGCGGCGAATCAAATGGACTTGTAAAGTTGTTGGTCTTAGTAACGAGAGAATTCCTAAAAGGTTAATATTTGCTGTGCCGAATGGTAAGCGTCGGAGGGGTAGACCGAAGCGAAGGTGGGAAGATTGCATTAAAGCTGATCTGAAGGGACTGGGTTTGGACGGCGAACGGTGGAGGGAGGTGTGTAACAAGCGATTGGTGGTGTCGGCATCGAACCTTCGGGTTCGCTAAGCCTTATTATTATTATTATTATCTTATTATTAGATAATAATGTTAATAGCTAGAGTTACAAGAAAGCTATCTCCAGTAAAGTCTACAGACCACAGTTAAAAAACTTATTGAATATTTAATAGTTGACCGTTGCATTATAAAGGAAGGAGATGGTCCGGGGTGACGATCATAAATAGGCTAAATAGTGGTAAAACTATTTTATTAAAAGCCAACATTTTGACCCGACTTTGCAGGTCTTCTTCAGGGATGTGTGTTCAGCTAGGAGTTTCACTAAGAACGCAGAATATACTTTTAATAAAATAGTTTTACCACTATTTAGCCTATTTATGACCACCACCTCGGACCATCTCCTTGTTTTAAAAAACTTATGCTCTGTGGTGATTTCTAAAATTGTAAAATATATAAATTTATCTACATACATCAGTTAAAGAGAGAGGAACTTGATCCAGCAATAAATCACAAACTACCCTAGGGTGAGTTCTAGATCTCAATGGCTTTTCACTTCTATTTCTTTTGAAATGAGCAACAGCATGAACAGGGGACAATATATAGGTATGCTTCGAAGAGGCAGTTTTTGCCATCTGAAAAAGAAGAAAATATTATAATCACAGACATAAATGAAAAAAAGAAAATCAAACAGATAAAACTTTACATTTCCAACAAAATGAGACAGCAAAAGATCACCCCACATTTCTGCTTGAGTTATTTGATCCCAATAGACCGAAAAACCAGTCATTTCCATCAATTTAAATGATTCTTTAGAAGAACCGGAGACAAATGATGGATTCCATGAATCGTCACAGCTTTGAGCAGTTAAAGACTCAATCTGTACTCCAGCAGCAAAAACTTTTCCATCAATAGTAATGTTATCTTCATAACGTAGGTGAACATCTTTTATTTTCAACTAAAAATTTTTAAAAAAATATGATAAAAGAACTTTCTATTACTGACAAACAGATAGTTAAATCTCAAATTCGAAGTAATACCTGGAGATTTTCTATAATATTAGCAGCAAAATTCATACTCAGTCCAAGCCATGAAGAATAGCTAGAGGCGTAGTAACTTGAATCTTGGGATGCTTCTGTTTGCCTCCATACTGCCTCAATTGCATCAAGGCGCCCTAATTTATAATCCTGAAGAGCCTGTTCTTCTGCTTCCTCATCAAGCTTAAAAATAATTCATTATTTAAAAAAAATATCTAAAAATGGCAACAACAAAAATGGAACAAACTGAATACAAATTAATACCGATTCAATCAAAATTTCAAATCATAAAATAAAGACATGCTATAATCGGCTATGAGAGCAATGAATAAACTTTGCTTTTATAAAATATCCCATAACTAACATAATAATTTTCTTAACAAAAAATGTTTTAAATAACAAAAATAATATTTCATTAATCTGGATATGATATATGCATTACATATCTTTCAAATTATTAGTTACATTAGATAAAAAAAATAAAACTATAAATGTATAAAAGAAATGCGACAAATGACATAAACAATTTACTAAATTGTTGATCCGATGAATAAATGTCATAAGAGTAAAATAAGAAGTAAAGGGATTGTATAACAGCTGAGCTTGTATACTTGTTTTTTGATTGAGGAGGAGTGTTCACAAAATTATCACTGTTACTATATCATATCCCTAAAAGTCATATTCACATCATCATATTTGAATATGATTCAAGTCATATTCACTGAGGGGCGGGGTGGCCAAGTGGGCTAACACGTGTGCACAGCACCACATGTTGCCAAGTGACCAGATCAATTATAGATAGTAAAATAACAACGACTTAGCGTCCCACTGCAGGTGGGGTTTTTTAACTTTGGCGTTAATCACTCGCCCTCAGCCTCTGGCCCAGTTAAAACCCCAAATAGCCTAAAAGGCTAGGTAGAGTAGAACAAAAAAAAAAAGACATTCACTTAGTAAGCGGGATGGACAAGCGGACTAACGCGTGTGCACAGCACCCTGATAATCAAAGTTTTGATTTAGAAAAATAATTAGGAGTTCAAATTCCGAAGCCCAGCGGGACTTTTAACTCAGCATATTCCCTGCCCCAGGAAAAAACCCGTATAGCCTAAAAGACAACGAAGGGGAGACAAAAAAATTCATAATCACTTAAATCATCCTCACATTTACATTAGAAACTAATAGAAGAGAATCACTCTAAAAATTTTATCATGGCAGAAAGAAATCATGGAAAGGAGCTGAGAAAAGTTGTAGTTAGAAAAAAGAGAAATTATGGAAATAGAGATTGTGTAATAATTATAATATTAAATTTTTGTTTTTCTGCAAGATGTTGATATTCCAACCCATGTTAGATGATAAAATAGAACAATACAATTATAGAAAAATGTTATAACACATAATTATTAATTTAAAATGTAAAAAGAAATGTAGATACATAATTTGTTTTTATAAAGTAATAAATTAGCTTTCATTAGATCTTAATGTCCATCTCTGTTTATTAGAAAATTAGCATTTCAAAAACCTTTTAGTGTTCATTTTCATGACTGTTTGAAATTACCTATGAGAAAATTTTAAACATATCTATTAAATAACTTTGAGTAAAAATTGTCTTGATTAAAAATATCAAATTTTGTTATATCAGTAAGCAATGATTCCTCTAAATGTTTTTAGTAAATAATTTTCTAGAAAGTTGCTTGTACATCAGTTTTTTGTTTGACCTGTGAAACCATGTTTTTAACACTTGACCAAGATTGTCAACAATGTCTTTTCAATCCATGGTATTTAAGTATCAAATCATGGTGAATGAAACATACATTTCAATAATGATGTAGAGATGGTTGACCGTTGATATAATATGAGAAGGAGTTAGTCAGGGGTGCGGTCAGATAAATACTAAATTAAAATATAGTAATTATTTTATTTTAATTTTGCCGACGTTTCGACCCACTTTGCAGGTCGTCTTCAGGGCGTAGGATGTAGCACTGCGGGAGGCAGTTGAAACACGGGTTTATTTGATCCCAATTTGTTCCAGTGTTTCAACTGCCTCCCACAGTGCTACATTCTACGCCCTGAAGACGACCTGCAAAGTGGATCGAAACGTCGGCAAAATTAAAATAAAATAATTACTATATTTTAATTTAGTATTTATCTGACCGCACCCCTGACTAACTCCTTCTCATCTTACATTTCAATATGTTGTTAAAATATCTAACCTGCTCATTGAGAAAGTGGTTTAAAAAATAAAAGTATTATTTTTTGGTGGTTTAGAAGAGTTCAGCAGGGTGAATTAGCAGGATAATTCTGAACTGCTCATTCAAGACAAACTCCCTGAAGTATAAGGAATAAAGTTCTTACATAGATTAAAAACGTAGCCCTTAGAGGTCATCCAGGCTAGAATTCTATCTCCTGTGGTAGGAGAGATGGTCTTGAGACAATGTATGTATTCCGTATTTTATTTATTTATTCTTCTAATATTTAAAATTATGAGGGAAGAAAGAACTATAACATCTAAAAATAATTTTATTTCCAAGTAAATAATCATACTACCAGGTACAGATGACTGAAATAAAGGTGGTTTTAGAGTGCTATTGCAATTGAGAATTAAAACAACTAAAAATTGTCACATTTCAAAAGAATCATCAATCAATAGGCGAACAGCATAGCTAACCAATTCATATATAACATTAGTCACACAACATACTCTAACAAAATATCACAGCTTATTGTCAACAGCTAAATCTCAATACAACAATATCAATTATATTTTGATTTCAATATGATTAATTATGATTAAAATATGAGTAGAGAAATAATTAACTCGACAGTGTTAATTAGATTGTTATCTGAGACCACTAAAAACAAAACTTGAATTTTTCTTAATACCTCAGTCAGGTTCAATGGTCCAGCGACCAGGTATAACTGTTCCATGAAAATTTCCCATGGTGCAGTCCTCACTTGGGTCAGCGGTACTTTAAGTTTAACTTTTCCAATCAAACCAGCTTTCACCTGAATAGGCAGTCCAACATGTCGGAGAGCATCCTTTCGAAGGGGTAGATTTTCAAGCTCTACAGCTCCTAAGAATAAAAAATCTCATTACTTCTTTTGAATAAAAACTAAATGTCAAATAATGCAAACCTATGAAACATTTTAAAGCAAATTGTTTTAATGTAACTTTTTTTCAATATTTTAAGTTCCTGAGGAATTTTAAAATAAGCAAACTAGTAAATTAATTTTTTTGGGGGGGAGAGATTTTGCAGAACCTCCAGGAAACAAAATGCAGGTAAATGACTTAATAGGACGCAGTTTATCACAAAATGAAATTAAGTTTAAATAGGCTACGAACTCAAAATTAAATAAATAAAAACTTGTAAATTTAGATTGTTTACTTACCACGTAAAAGAGCAATACTAAGTTGGTCTGTATTAAGATTTTCAACATATTTGCCAAGATAATTGTTTATCACCCATGCCACTAGACCTTCCAGCATAGTGGAAGGTTGTCTACAATGAATATCATTAACATAAACTACACTGTGTACAATTTAAATTGAAGAAGCGAAAGCTCCTAAAACTTTGACAATATCAGGGAGGTTACGGAGGTTGCACACTGTTACACAACTTCAGGCCAGTCTCAGCTTAAGCTGGGCGATGACTGGTAGTATCTTTTCTAATCAAACACCTCCCATTAAGATAAGAGATGCCGGTTTTCATTAACAATGGGTGCAGTTCTGTTTTGGAGAACATCGTCATCCCTCTTTTAGTATGCGGAAACTATCCTGAGTATATTAATATTCCGTATAATCGTTGAATCGCAGTTTCAATAAGATGTAACTGTTCATTGATCGTGGTCTTGAGAAATACGAGTCTTATCGGCGCACTTTCAAAGAACATGGATAGATAAAATAAATGCAAAGATAGATAATTATAATTATAATTTATTATCTTAATACTCTAAAGGTTTGGTGTACACCTAATTAATTAATAGCAAAGAAATTCACAGATGTTTTTAAATTCTGGAAGAAAGAAAGAATATACTACTTCTTATCACCATTTCTGATCTATTTGAAAACATTCCTGAATCTTGTTTTATATTATTCCTACTAGAGTTTTTTTTTTTTTAATACTTTAATTATCTGGCAATACCTATTAACAGAAATCGACAAATAACGAATTCATTAGAAAAAAAAATATATCAGAAATGAGGAAGTCAAAAACCGAGGGGTAGCTCGTCCTTGGATAAAGAGATTAGGTGAATAGATATTAATTTGTACTGAACAAAATTAAATGAATAACTTATATATCTTAAACATTTTTTTCTCCTTTAAATGGTGATATTATCATTTATGTTATGGTGACTCACGTCCGGAACTAGAAATTTGTTCAGTAGCAGCAAGCTTAATTTAGCCCTTCTTTGATCGCCGCATCTCCCTCATAAAAATTAAGTTTTGTAATAGTACTTTAGGTAACATATATTTCGAAATAAATATCATCTCATAATATTAACTATTTTTATTGATTGATAGAAAAAAAAATCTCCTAAGAGAATGAATTATTTATTTATAGTTTAATTCTGGCTCTGAAAAATCTATAACTACGTGTCCATTTAAAGCTACTAGTTACTAAGTTATCAGACAGTAAAAATAAAATTTTAAAATTGTTCAAAGCTACCACTAAATAACGACTTAAATTTTAAAATTCAATTTTTAGTTTCATAATGTTAATTCTTAATTCTTCTTAGTCATAAATTTTAAACGAGACTGTAATTATACATAAACATAAATTGAAAAAGCATTATTTTAAAACACTGGCTTTGGAAAGAAATTTTATTTATAATTAAATAATGTACATTTGACAATACTTGCAAATTAGGAAGGTTCAAATGAATTCATAATTCCATAACAATATGTATGAAAATAACGTTGAATATTCAAAAACATAAATAGATGAATGTTATTATTTACTATACAAACCTGGGAATGGTGAAGGTTGAAGGGAGTTCATGGGAAATGGTTTTTAAATATTAGGCGATGAGTCATAAGAATGGATCATTTTTAGTTCAATTTCGTCGATGACTTCTTTAATGAACGGATATCTTCGTTATAAATATTAGCATCGTTCCTTTGGCCTCACCAAGTCACAATATTCCTAAATCATTAAGAACATATTTATTTTTTGCTTATGGTTTATAAGAACGTACGATTTAATTATCGTAATGGAGTCAACATTTTTGGAAGATTCTCATGTAGAGAGAAGCATTCTTAAAATCAGTGAAGGTAAATAGATTCAGGTTCTGCCAGACGATTCTTATCGGATTTAGACACTTTTGAAGTGATTCATCTTCATGCCTTAAGATAACATAAATGTTTTAATAAACAGAATAATTAGTTTTTATTAGCCGTGGTTAGTTCTATGTTGCCATTTACAAAGAAACGAAATTGTTCATTACTTAATGGACTGATCCAAGGTACAATTATCAAAATTTCATGATAGCATTGTCTAAAGACCATGCTGTGTTGAGAGGAGAAACTTGGAAAACAAAAGCAGGATTTATGCTACCACAAAATCGTCGGTGTTAAGTGAGTATTTGTGTTTCCATTAGCTCGATAGTGTATCCTGCATCGACGATGCGTAGAAGGTCGCTAATATAAACGCATGTGCCCAAATCATTAATATAATTAATAATTCATAGACAATGAATAACTTATGTCTGACAAATGACTGAAATATACAAAAATATAAACAATTATTATTATCTATAGCTTTTCAGACATCAATAAATAAATTAATCTAGGATTAAAAGCTATAAATACTCTTTGTCAGACACTCCAAGAGAACAATGTCAAATTTGTCTTCTGAAGTAGTTACTCTATTTAAGCATTTTTTTCTTTATTCTTTAATATGGATTATTTTAATATTAATTTTAGTTGAAATATTACAATATTTATAATAATTAATCATAGTTAAATAATAGTTAAGTTAATTAAACCAATGTTATTCATTAAGAAAAAATAAAATAATAAAATTCTTTCACAGAAAAAGATAATTAATAATAATAATTAATATTTATTATTTTAATAAAAACAATTTCTATTCAAAGTGGAGCGGCAAGTGAAAGTTGTGTGATCAGATTTTTGTATTTTGTTTGTCTGAAATGGAATTGAGGGAATAATTTAATAGATTAATTTAAAAAGGAGTTTATATTTAATTAAATTTTATATTTTATTATATTTATTTTATAATTTATATATTAGTTGTATTTTAATTTATTAGTTTATCGAGAGTCAGACGCGAGAATCAGACATACCGGGAAATAGGAGCCGAAAATTCGACCATATGATCTTTTCACTCGCGTGTTCTAGCCATTTTACTACAGGGGTATTGAGGAAAATAACATCATAGTAACAAAATACCTAATACTCATACCTTATAAAGGATTTTATCGAATAGAATGAACCTTTAATATTGGTAAGTTGAATCAAACACAAATTTGACATGTTTGAGCGAGTCAGTTTTGAAATTGAATTCAAATTGCAAGGCAGTTTATATACAGCATTTAGAAATTAGGTTGGAAAATAAGTCCTTTCGGTTTTTCTGTTTATTTTCATGTCACTATTATACACTTCTTAACTGATGAATTAATCCCTAAGGTGGATTGTTTATCCTGTTTGCAATATGTCAACAACTATATCTGTTAGCTCCTGTTGAAACTAGCTTAGTATTGTGTTTGCTATTGCACTGTGCATATGAAAGAAAACATCATTCATTATCGACATATTTTGTTGTATTATTTTAAAAAAGATAAGCGTGCTGCAGAATCTCATAGAAAACTTTGCAGTGTTTATGGGGATGATGCCTTAATCGAACGCACCTGTCAAAATTGGTTTGCCAAATTTCATTCAGGAAATTTTGACATCAATGATGCTTAACGCTCTGGTCGCCTACATTAAAATTGAAACGAGCAATGTTTAGGCCAGTGTTGATCGAAATCACACCCAATCGATGCGAGAGATTAAAACCATTTGCTCAAGCTTGGCTGTTTCCAGGCTTAATGTTTGAGTCCCTCACTCTCTAACCGAAGTCAACTTGGCAACACTCATTTCTGTTTGTGATTCACTACGGAAACGGAAATAAAACGACCTATTTTTGAAAATTTGGGTAACAGGAGATGAAAAATGGATATTTTACGATAACGCAGTCCGTAGAAAATGTTGGGGACCTATTAGTGAAGCTCCTAGAAGAATGTCAAAACCCGGATTGCATCCAAAGAAGATAATGCTTTCCATATTATTTTTTATGAGCTATGGCCATCAGGACAAACAATAGATTCAGCTATATACTGCTCACAATTAACAAAATTGGATCAATCAATTAAAAATAAACACCCAGAACTGGCAAATCGGAAGGGTATTTCGTTCCACCAAGAAAACGATAGGCCCCACATCTCATTGGTTACTCGCAATAAATTATTGAGACCTTTGTCCCACCCTCCCTATTCATCAGACCTAGAACTCCAAGTGATTACCCGTTCTCTTCAGAACTACAAGATTGGAAAGAAATTCCAAAAAGGAAGAGGCCATCAAAAACCACTTGGATCAGGTTTGTAACAATAGGTTTGTTAACAATAAACTCCAGACATTCAATGAACATGGCATTATGCAGTTAGTGGAAAGATGGGAAAAAGTCATAATAAATAATGATCAATATATTGCAGATTAAAATACATTTTATATCTATAATACATTGAGTTTTATTTCACCCTGAAAAACCGAAAGGATTTATTTTCCAACCCAATAGATATTGAAGTTTATCGTGTAATTGTATTGTTAAGTGTTTGCAGTTACAGTTAAATTTATTCAAGCAAAATTTGTTTTTTCCGTCAGTTTTCAGTTACTTCTTGCTAGGCCATTACCCTTTCAGAGGAAAAAAAAATGAATGAAATAAGTTTTCGTATTCATTAAAATCGTACTGGTTTCATCTCCAAGAAACAAAAAAATTTTCATGTATTTACGATCTCATCTCGAGTTTCTGCATCTACATACATCTTGAATACCAGGTTTCAAGGTCCCAACCTACTCACCTTTAAACATAACCTTTTACCTTCACTTCAACAGCTTTCTTTTGCAAATCCTTTCTAATTTGTATTACCTGTTTATCGTTCCTCTTCCTATCTATCCCTAAAACCTCATCTTTTTAAACAACACGATAAAATAATTGGATCAAATTGTGCAAATTAATTAATTTTCATTTTGAGAAACAAAAGGTTTTACTTGAATTATTGTGATAATTTCTGAAAAAGTCTTAACTTTGTGTAGGTAACCAACTCATAATGGTATTGAATAATGGAATAAAGCCTAAATAAAGATGGTTTTAAAATAAAAATTTTGCTTTACTTTAATATATATTTTAATTTTTCAGATCAATAAAAAATTGAAAAACAACCAAAGAATCTGACCAAATTCATTTTTTTTTTCAACAAATAAGCCTTTCTCAATTATATTTAGGGATTTAAACCACTGACATTTTGGAAGTATGACTAACACTACTCCGATTTGAACTCCGTCTAATATTTATTGTAGTTATTCATTTATTGCTAGTTGAAATAACTGTTACAGCATGTTTAAGTTTAATTCATATAATTAATATTATCCCATTTCAAGGGTAAATGTAACCTAGAATATAGATTAATTATTTATTCCTATTTGTAACGATTCCTTCAGTTCTCATACTTACAATTTTCAAATAATGATTCGCATCACCTGAAAAGTACTTTAAATGAGTCATTTCCCCCATAAAAATAATCAAATAAGGAAATTGCTTGATAAAACAAAACTGACGTTTGATTAAAACAATTAGAGGGTCTAAAGATTGATCAAGCAGTTCCCACAGTATAGATACGAAATGAAATACTGCCTCATCATTGTACTAATAATACATATGATATCTCGAGGTCAAATTTTATATCCACAAAATTAATCTTTATGCTGGTGTATATTTATAACCTTATATTGCTTGTAGCAGCGACATTAAATGCGCATTAAAACTTATTACATAATGCACTTTTTCATATTGATTTCAACGTTTATGTGATCGGTAATACAGATCAAGTATTTTAATTCAGAAAGTTTTTATAACAATAACACGGACTCTGTACTACATACATTTTTTTTCTTCTAATGTTAGCAAACATTGAATTCTAGAAACGAATAAAGTGACTTCATTTTTTTTCTTTAGTTTTTTATATATATAATACAATAAAAACTGAGAAAATAGCAATTTTATAAGATTCAGACAACACAATCATATAAAGTGATTATTCAATTATTAGTTAGACGTTTGTTATTTAAGGAAAAGATGATTCACATTATCAAAATTTGAATATCTTACGAAAATATATAATGAATAATCTCTGAACTCATTTTGATTTAGCGAAGACTGCTCCTGCAGTTGTAAAAATAAATGGAGGATATTTAAAAGTTATAGAAGACCAATACATTTTAAGTCCGAGAGAGTTCCGTTGTATCTTCTATTTAAAACGATTGGGCTTACGCCAGGATTTAAGAGCCACTAGAACATGTCTTGCTGTTATTCAAGTAAAATAACTTTAGCATGGCTGAACTGAGTTTACCGTAACGTTCTGTTCATATAATATCAAAGATTAGAAGAGGAGAAAAAAATGTTACATTTCATTTTAAACGAATTTATTTTAATAAACATTCCTCACCAATACTTATATAATTGATAGATGAGAAGGTGAATCTCGACCTTCCTACTCTTGTTAGAATAGGTTTGGTTGGACCTTCAGAACAACCAAAACAATAACCCCCCCCCCTATGCAAGAAATGGCGAGGTAGGGAAAAATCGAAAAAAAAAAAAGAAAAAAAGAAGGATAATGGATAAATAGGCTTTTACTTTCTTCCTCCCCGTTCTATTAAG